ACGTAGGGATCAATAGGGAAAATCTTTAGAAAAAATTCTTCTCGACAACATCAAAGCCATAATTGGTCATAGTTATATTGAAGCATCCTTTGTAGTGTAGACTCAAGTGTGTTCAGATCAAGACCCCTGGGGCAAGGATGGGGCCATAATGGTGTTCAAAGTTTTAAGAAGGATTACATAGAAAAAAAATCTTTCAAATTATTCTTCTTGAGAACAGCAAAGTGTAATTTTTTCATGTTTATATTATAACATCCTTGGGTAGTGTAGATTTAAATTTGTTCAAATCATGACCCCCAGGGGTAGAGTGGGGCCACATTGGGTGATCAAGGTTATTACGTAGGAGTAAATAAGGAAAAATCGTTTACAACAAAACCATGAATATATAAGCATTAAAAAAAGTCATGTAAATCTAAATTTATTCAAATCATGACCAACCAGGATACTAAAGGAGCCATTAAAGTGGATCATAGTTGTATAAAGGAATGTAAAGGCTAACTATCAATAAAAATTTTCTTCTTATAAACAGCAAAGCCATTATGTATCATATTGATTTAAAAGCATCTGTAGGAAAGTACAAATTTAAGTTTAATTAAATACCCCTCCCCTGAACCCACTTTTATTAGCTCATCTGAGCTGAAAGCTCAAGTGAGCTTTTCTGATCACATTTTGTCCGGCGTCCGTCTGTCTGTCCGTCTATCTGTCTGTAAACTTTTCACATTTTCGACTTCTTCTCAAGAACCGCTGGGCCAATTTCAACCAAACTTGCCACAAAGTATCCTTGGGTGAAGGGGATTCAAGTTTCTTCAAATGAAGGGCCACGCCCTCATTCAAGGGGAGATAATTGGGAATTAATGAAAATTTGGTGGCATATTTTAAATATCTTCTTCTCAAGAACCTCTGTGCCAGGAAAGATGAAAGTTATGGGGAAACATCCTCAGGTAGTGTAGATTCAAGTTTGTTCAAATCATTACCCCCGGGGGTAGGGTGGGGCCAAAATGGCCGACCAAAGTTTTACATAGAAATATATAGGAAAATTCTTTAAAAATCTTCTTCTCAAGAATGACAAAGCCTTAATTCATCATATTTATATGGAAGCATGCTTAGGTAGTGTAGATTCAAGTTTGTTCAAATCATGACCCCCGAGGGTAAGGCGGGGCCAAAATGGCCGACCAAACTTTTACATAGAAATATATAGGAAAATTCTTTAAAAATCTTCTTCTCAAGAATGACAAAGCCATAATTCATCATATTTATATGGAAGCATGCTCAAGTAGTGTAGATTCAAGTTTGTTCAAATCATGACCCCCGGGGGTAGGGCGGGCCAAAATGACCGACCAAAGTTTTACATAGAAATATATAGGAAAATTCTTTAAAAATCTTCTTCTCAAGAATGACAAAGCCATAATTCATCATATTTATATGGAAGCATGCTTAGGTAGTGTAGATTCAAGTTTGTTCAAATCATGACCCCCGGGGGTAGGGCGGGGCCAAAATGGCCGACCAAAGTTTTACATAGAAATATATAGGAAAATTCTTTAAAAATCTTCTTCTCAAGAATGACAAAGCCATAATTCATCATATTTATATGGAAGCATGCTCAAGTAGTGTAGATTCAAGTTTGTTCAAATCATGACCCCCGGGGGTAGGGCGGGCCAAAATGACCGACCAAAGTTTTACATAGAAATATATAGGAAAATTCTTTATAAATCTTCTTCTCAAGAATGACAAAGCCATAATTCATCATATTTATATGGAAGCATGCTTAGGTAGTGTAGATTCAAGTTTGTTCAAATCATGACCCCCGGGGGTAGGGCGGGGCCAAAATGGCCGACCAAAGTTTTACATAGAAATATATAGGAAAATTCTTTAAAAATCTTCTTCTCAAGAATGACAAAGCCATAATTCATCATATTTATATGGAAGCATGCTCAAGTAGTGTAGATTCAAGTTTGTTCAAATCATGACCCCCGGGGGTAGGGCGGGCCAAAATGACCGACCAAAGTTTTACATAGAAATGTATAGGAAAATTCTTTAAAAATCTTCTTCTCAAGAATGACAAAGCCATAATTCATCATATATATATGGAAGCATGCTCAGGTAGTGTAGTTTCAATTTTGTTCAAATCATGACCCCCAGGGGTAGGACGGTGCCAAAATGGCCGACCAAAGTTTTACATAGAAATATATAGGAAAATTCTTTAAACATCTTCTTCTCAAGAATGACAAAGCCATAATTCATCATATTTATATGGAAGCATGCTCAAGTAGTGTAGATTCAAATTTGTTCAAATCATGACCCCCAGGGGTAGGGCGGGGCCAAAATGGCCGACCAAATTTTTAAAGATATATAAAGGAAAATTCTTTAAAAATCATTTTCTAAAAGATAGCAAATCCATGATTGGTCATGGAACTGCTTTTGGATTTAAACTTTACAATAAAAAGCCATTTTCTACTTTTTCCTACCCTTAGTGCTCAGGTGAGCGATGTGGCCCATGGGCCTCTTGTATTTAAACTTTTCACTAGTTTTCAGTGCTGAACTGCCTTTTTTTAATTTTATCTTACCAGCTGCTCAGGTGAGCGATTTGGTCCCTGGGCCTCTTGTTTATTGAGGAGGCACCTGTCAAAAAACTTGCTCTTTAATTTATCGTGAGGATGATTGTATATAGTTCAAAACAATTTTTGCCAGTAAATCCTACATTTAGTCGGCAAAAACACACGAATAAGTTAAAGACAGAATCAATTCAATCGTATCTTCAGATCAATTGAAAGTAGCTATAATTGATTTGAAGGATGGAACAGATCAATAATGAAAAAAAAGAATCATAATTACAACATCCCCATAATTCATCAGGAGAAGATAGATGCAATTGTAGAAAAAACTATTGTTCTTTAATTTTTGCTTTCCATCGAGTATATGACTTGGTTTCAGAGGTAATGTAATACAAGTAGCACTTCATGACAATTTTAAGACTTTACAACATGTTAATTATAGGCGGTTGTCTTTATCAAAAGCAGATGGTGGTTATCAGACTAGGGTGATGTAAATTATTGCTGATTTCGCAGATTTAATCAAATTTTACTTGCTATTTTAAGGCTTCCCAGTTAAACGGTGGTAATTGTTTAGTGAAGCAAAAGATCAGGCATACTTTAAAAATTTAATTTTTCTGTCTTATATGATTCCATGCATTCTAAATATAAATTAAATGATTTTATTGTAAATGTAAATTTCGCCTTTATTGTTGAAACGTCTTTGAAACACCTTTCCTTCAGAGGATTTTTTACGTTCCGCATTCGCTCAAGCCTGTTCATATCAATGGTGCACAGAATGTATTTTAAATGTTTACTAGCGGTCAATCGGGGTGAATCTTAGGTGAGGTCCTTGAGTTATGATAATATCACTGCGCCTGCGCACGTATTGTCGATACAACTGCAGTCAACGCCATGCATTCCGTAGTTATATAGTGCGACCTCAATCGACCGCAATTTTTCTCTTTTCTCGCAGGGAAAGAATAAACAAGTAAAAAAAGTTTATCGATTTGGCGATTACATCGACAAACATTCAACCCATAATCTCTCTGATAGCAATACTTCCAGATGCAGCACGGGGTCATCGCGAGTCCGAGGTATTAAGTTAGAATCGTTCTTATGTAGTATTTGGACTGTAACAACCAAAAAAAAAGTGAAATAAAAGTTTTTACAAAGTAAATTCATTTAATGAAGTTTTGACCTTAAACATATTTTAATCTATAATATGTTAAGTCTAAAGACCAAAATTGCGTTGCTATGGTGAAATGATATTGATCTGTTTCTGTAAAACGCATGAATGGAAGAAGTTCATGTCCAGTACTAGGGTCAGCAGGGAACTTAGGGCGAAAAGATTGTTACCCTCTGCTTGACCTATACCAAAAGAAAAAAAAACTTCCACGACAGCTGGAATAAAAAAAAATGGCACAAGTCCTATCATGTGCATTTAAGCTTGTAAATTACTGTTGATAAGAGATATTGTTTGAAAAGAGCTATATATGTATATAAATTTGCAAATGAAAAAAAAAGCAATCTTTAAAAATATATAAGAAAGGTAGTTTGGTCGTATGAGAAGTTAATGTTATGAGGCTACGTTTACGTATCCCCTTTCATGCAAATAACTCCACGGTTAAGTCAATGCAAAAAATTGATCATACATAGTATGTTTATGAATGAACGACCCAAGCGGTGTGTTGTCAACCCTCGAACTTGTTTCACTTAATATGATTCCCTCGAATAAGTTTCCCTTATCACAGATCTTAAAAATTTCAATTGGGTAACACAAAACAAGCCTCGACAACTTCATTCTATCTGAGATGACACGCAACTCCCTTTGTATGCCCAAATAATTGACCTACTTCTTTTTTTTTACGATGTATTAGTTACGCGCCCATTATATAATTTGTATGCGCACGCATTAAAATTGCTAGGTCATACTAGCAGTGCTGAAAAATCATGGCTCCGAATTGGGAAAGATACGATAGGGGATCAAAAAAGATCTGATGGCAGCCTTGCCTCAGATGACCCTACATACAGGTAAAGGCTGCTTTCTTATTAAATTAACCTCGGTCAGCATTTGTTCACTTCTTGTTTTTTGTTGTTTAAAATTGTTTCCTCGGTTGTATTTGTTGTCCTTAAATCTAAGGCTAGTAAGGTCACGTCGGTTCAAGTGCAAACCACGTGATCTGTTATTTTTTGTCCGCTTACGCATTACATAATATGTACTTTGGGCAGATTCTACCTCAAAAAGCAATGAACAGAAGTTGCATCTCCCGGACAAGCAGATACAGCGCTTGAGAACGAAGGAGGTGAGAAATAAAGTTATAATTAACTTCTTTTGTTTGAACTTTTGGCCTGTGTTTTAAGGTCACGATTGTGTTTACTTACTTTACGATAAATGTGTTTTACACATGAACTTACAGTGCATTCCTCAAAACAACATCTTCGTGCTAGTTTGAGGGTATATTTGGTTCTGTTGTGCCTTATGTTTTTACAAATAAGTGTAGAAATGATAAGAATTTAACTTTTATTGCGAAAAAAATTCTATTGACTGTGTATTGTTTATCGAAACGTAACGTATTGGCGCAGTTTGTCACGTGCTACAAAATATTGAACCACATGTAACACGGTGTATTATCTCGGATAGTGGATCGCAAAAACAACAACCTTGCCCTTCCAAATTACATAACTCTTTGGGAGAATTACGTAAAGCGGCTTAGCTAACTGTGTAAGCTGAATGTAAAACTTACTGCAACATGTCGACTCTGACCTGTTCTTTTTCTAACGCGTGGGGTGATAAAAGGTAAGCTTTATTTTAATAAATTTTTAAAGACCGCTGTCGTGTATATGATGTAATAATTAACTGCGTTATTAATTCATTTACATCGCCTTTTAAACATACCATATGGAATTTATTTGAATAATTTGGAAGCCAAGTTTTATGTCCTTTTAAATTTTGTTTTTGATTTAAAGTCTGTTTGATATTATGTGTATTACAAATTATACACGCATTTTACTAAAGTATGCACGACTAATTGTCTGGCTTATAGGTTAAGTACGGTATGTAACTGGTCGAAAATGGTATTACGAAATCTGAAGTTTGTTTTTTAAATCTTTACATACCTGAATAAAACCCCGGACAAGTTCAATAAGGTTATATGAACATTTTCCTTGTTAAAATCTTTCAATCTACACAAAAGGTCTCTCTATGCCGTGCCTATTCAACTGTATTTTATGCAACACATTATCATTTTTATTGCGCTTTTGTAAAGTGTGTAATTTTACCTTAGAGTTACTTGATAAACAATTCTAACATATAGAAATTTTATACTGATGTTGAAATTAAATCCTGACTTGTGCATTATAGAAAAAGAAAAGATTTGAACTATGACACGTCCATTTGATATTGGAAGTTTGTGCCAATTACATGTATACTTATATGCACTGGCATTCTTTTTAAAATTTAAAACTTACTGTTCTTTATATCTTTTTTTTTCTCTCTCTCTCTCTGAACTTAATGTTTTCTTTGCTCAGGTTTTAAAACAAAATAATTATTTTGACATATAATTTTATCCTCATTTTTTTCATTAACGTGCCTATTTTCATATTCCATAAATAAAATGAACAGATGTGATGGTATCTCTAGTTTCAGAAATTAATAATTGAAAAAAAAGATTATTGTAACTGGAATCTCCCTGATCTTCTCAGATCAGCCATTTATAATGTCACACTCGGAAAAACACTTAGAAACAAAATACAAATGAAAAATTTGACCAGAGAGGGGGTGAAAGTCAGATTGGGGCCTGAGCGACTCTTTGACCTTTTCCTCCTCTTTTGGATCGGCATTTTTTCTTTATTTTTAATGATTCAGAACTTGCAGTAAATTGACTCGCTGGTCTGCGATTTGCGCGAGCATGTACGGGCGCTGGAAAAAATGAGCTCCAGCGGTCATGTCCTCAGAATGACCTTTGGCCTGCTAACCAGTTCCCTGATACAATCAGGCTGTTCCTTTGCGAAGAAGAAGAAAGAACAAACCTGTTGCACTTCAAACTAATTTAAATCGTTAATGTACACCATGCAACTCGGGCGCACTTTTAGAGTTTTTTTTTTGCCCGTATTGTGTTTTTTTTTTCCGGGAGAAACAATCTTATTAATATGTATCACTTTGTAACTATTTTCTGCTTCCAAAAGATCAGTAAAAATATGCATATGCTTTTGACAGTTATTTGGTAAGTGAGAACGTTTGAAAAGCAAAATTATAAATCATTGCCCACTTATGTAACCTGAAATCAGTTTTGAAGGCACATCACGAAAAGCATAAATAACCTATTTTTTTTTTCTTATGTAACATTTTTTTTAATTGTGTAATTCGTTATAAAAACATTTATGCACTATATTTGGCTTCTGAATATCCAAGCATAAAAGAATTTCCCTTTTATCATGGATTGATTTTTGCCAAGAGCGGTGCTTATGAAACAGGGACCTTCATATGGACGTGTAACATATTGAAGATAAATAAACCTTTATCTATTTAGGTCCAAATTATCTTTAAAATAGCAAAACAGTCTACCGTTTTACTATAAATGGGTTGCTTGTTTCACATCTAATGGTCGTGATAAAATTATTTTTTGAGAAAATTTTTATCCTGTTGGCAGACAGTCTTCAAACAGAAAGCTTTGATTAACCATTTAATAATGGTATATTTTTGGAGATTACAAAATATTTTATATTTTATGAATTAATCTTAATATTTTTGCTATGGAGAAATGATATTGATATTTTTGCTTTCATGTTTCATACTGAATCAATTAAAAATGATCCGTTTTAAATTGTCTGTATAAGTGTATATCTTTTCACAATAATTTATTTATTATATAATTTTGAAGAATTTTTTTTGATTGTTTACTATGAAACATTTATTTTGTTTGGTCTTCATCATCTAGTACGGCCGGATGTTGAGGGTAAAGAAAGACCTACCTTGTCAAATCAAAACTTTACAAGTACAATTTAAGTACAAAAAGGAGAGTGCAGGGGATCGGGGGAAAATGAAATCCCGGATATAAAATCGTGATTTTATGTTAAGATAGTTGTAGTACAATCAAAAGATAACACCAAGTCGCTGTTATCGATTTCAAAATGTATTGGATGTTACCTATAATTACCTCTACTACATGTATAATATGTATTCAGCTTAACAATACAAGAACACCAACCCAAAGCCAATAATGTATGTTCACACACCATTCACATATTTGTGAGAATTCACAGTTGTTGAAGGAGTAATTGAATACGTTTACCTGAAAGAAAAAAAAATCAATTCTGTACTACTAGTGTGTTACTAAAAGCAAATTTTGACTTGTTTCTCTTCAAAATTGTGGAGAGAAAAAATACATTTCAGCAAATCAATAAATGGCTGGAGTTTATCCTTAATTGTTTCAAAGTAACGATCATGAAACTAGTAGTAGGCGAGCCTCGCTTATGACACAGATGGGTAGTAATCTCTCCATTAAGGTTTTATTGTATTAAAATCACATACTGATCGATAAAACCCACACGAATAATTTTTTTACGATTGTTTACATCCCTTTTATTTACGGACATATTTAGGTTTCAATGTCCAGAGGGGTGATAAAAATATTACGACTACACTGCATACTGTATAACATTTAATTTATATAATACGCAAATAGTCTATCCTGTCCTGTTCTATTTTTCAAGGTAATCGTGTTTACACAAAATATCGATCAAATAACAACTAATAATATTTTTTAAAGTTAAACTTTCATAATAAAAATATTAGAAAAATAGTTTTTTCATTCAGTCATAAAAAGTTTACACCACTATTTTAAAAAAAAAATCTTGCCGTTATAAGAGGAAAAATCCATCTGAAAAACTAAATTCCTAAGCTTAGAGAGGTTATTCTTGACGAATCTTTGTTTTCCAGTGTATTTCCTTCCAATTATTTTTTTCCTCATATATATACTTTGCTGTATTTTTTTTTTTACTTTAGTACATTGAATTAAAAAAAGGAAAAACAGCCATTTTAGTGAGTTTAATGTCGTCTCTCCTTTAGATTCGATGTTGTACTTCATATATTAATACGGGTTATTATCCGGAACAGATTTAGAGGGGATATAGTAACGCACTTATGTGTTTTTGTGTGTGATAGTTCGTCTTTGTGCGGAACGGAAATGACGTGATTTTTGTCGGGATCGATGTCAATTGCTCTCTTGATTTACAGTGTATAGATATTCTCCTTGCGAGGGGATGTTCCACTTTAAGGTGCCCTTATTTTTCTAGTTTTAGCCTCCTTTTCTTAGAATAGTTATTTAATGTTATTTAATGTCATATACACATCCTTTAACTTGGTGGAAATTTTAACTTCTAAATATGTATACGTACAAAACACTAAATCATTACTACTGTATAAAACCAAACCAAGAGCATGTTGTTTTTTGTAACCTTTCGACTCGGTAACTTAAAAAAATCATATTGAAGGTAAATATTTGAAAGTAGGGCAGATTAGTTTTATTACGCGGAAGCAAGGACAGACGATCTAAACATTAATTTAAAAAAAAAAAAGTTACATAAGTGTACACTGTCATAAGATGAAAGCGTGATTCTGTTATGTCACTAGTCTTATAAAAAATTCATTTATGTAAAAATTATCGACTGATCAAGCTGGTATAAGAGATTAGATCAGGTTTACCATGCAATATTACAATGTACTCATTTGCATTTTTTGGTTACGTTAGTAAGGTCATTATATGTTAGATCAGGAAATTTTACAAGGTGCTTTCTGATGAAAACCTGTTTATAATTACAAGACAGTCATAGATACTTTTCCATGTGCTGATTTCTATCTAATGAAAAAAAAATCTTCCTTCTTTTTACTGGGGTTTGAAAGGATTTTAAGAATGAAGTCGAACAGGGGGATTAGAAAGGTTGAAATTTCATATGTGCACGTATTATCAAAGAATATATGTACAATTAAAGTTCTCAGCCTCTCCATTGTAAAATAAGATATGTTTATGTTAAAAAAAACATTAAAGTGAATGATATAGGTTTAAGTTTTCTTAAGTGTTATGTAAAATTAAGATCATAATTCGATAAACAGGAAGCTGACATAGACAAATACGGCATTGATATAGACGAGTCCTGATTGGTTACCTCCAACAAAAGTCAAGGTGGAAGTTTGTCTTACTCATTTTATAAAAGTTATTTTAATAAAAAAACTCTGACTAGTAATTAATTCACTGGTGTATCATTCAGGCAGTATATGTTAATTTATTAGATTGTTTATTAATTGTTCCCTTCCTAACTTTGTTAATGTATTTATAATACAATTCCTTTGTCAACTATGCAGTGCTCTACATATGCCTTTTTATAGTTAATTAAAAGTAAAAACACATTCTCAGATATGAACCATACATCTTCCTGATGTCATTATATATTCCAACAAGACTTGGTTGTGAAAAACCTGTTGTTCTTATATTGCATCTCATAATGGAAGGAAAGTTTTTCAAATGTAAATCAAACTTCATGTAAAAAGATGAAAACAACCAAAAAAATATCTTGTCACAAGGAAAATATCAAACCTGTGAAATAAGTGACTTACCATCAATCGTTTCAAGTTTTAAAAAAGTAGGTTAACATCCAAGGTCAAAGGGTCCAAATTAATGGTGTTCAAGGAAAGGTCTCTTGTCACAAAAAATGCATATGTGGAAAAAATGTTATAGACCCAGCTGTAGAAAAAAAGTAAGGCTAAGGTTTAATTTTTTCAAAAGTAAACCAAACTCAAAGGTCAAGAATCAAAGGGTCAAAATTGATGGTATCTAAGTGATATTCTTGTCACAAAAAAATACACTTGCGAATTCTGAAAGACTGAGAACTAACTTTTAAATTCTTTTTAAAAGAATGGCCAACATCCAAAGTCAAAAATATTTGTACTTAAGGGAAACTTTTTTCACCCGAAATTCACTTGTAAAGTATGAAAACCATAGTACCAACTGCTGAAAAGTTAAGCAAAGTTTGAAAAAAAATGCACAAGATGGTCAAACTGCAAGGTCAAGAGTTCGAATATGTTGGTGCCCAAAGAAAGGTTTTGTCACAAGGAATACACTTGTGAACTACGAAAGCCGTCTCGCAACAACCAGTCAAAATTATGGACAATGATTAAGTTTTGGTGAACAAACAGACAAATGGGTAATCGGACATGATTAATGCTATAAGACCTGAATTTTCCATTACGGGGCATAAAAAGATGTCAAACATAATTTAAATTCAATTCACATATTATTTCAAAGTATCATACTTCTTCAACAAATAGAAAAACCTATATAATATTGGGAGAAAAAATATGTTAGTTTGTAAGGGATAAAACTGATCTTCAGATTCTTTTTACTTTATCTTTTTGACAGGACTGGATTAGAAACAACTCTTTTGAAGGGCCATCTCAGGGAATACCAGTACATACACACACAGTACGAAAACTCAGGCAGACCACGTAATTATGCAGACTCTACCTCTGCTATCAGTAGCGAACGAAAACCAAACACTGTGACAATGGATCAATCTGGTGAATACCCTCATTCTCCAAACAGTAGCTCAGACACAAACTCTCCAAATCCTACCTCCAACATACCGACCTGCATCGTGGCTCCCACATCAAGCAACACGGACAAGGACCCGGCAAGTGATAGCTCAAACCCTTATATACCGACGAGAAAACAGCGCGAATTCATCCCAGAGAATAGGAAGGATGACCACTATTGGGAGAAAAGGAGGAAAAACAACGAAGCTGCAAGAAAATCTAGAGAGAAACGAAGATTTCATGACGTGGTTTTAGAAAACAGGATAATGGAATTAACACGAGAAAACTGTCAGATCCGGAACGAGTTGTTTGCGATCAAGAAACACTTTGGCATACCTCTAAATGAGACGTTCGATATGAGTGAAGAAAACAAAACAACTGCCACGAAAAGTAGGGAAAGATCACTATCACCCGTGTCAAACCATCATACGAACGCTTCTATGAGTTACTTGGCAGCAGCTAGAGCGAGTGGATCCATTCTTCATGGGTCTCAACCACCAACCATGGTCCCCATGCAATCATCCATTCCGCTACCGATCTCTTTACAAGGAAACTACAATTCTAAAGGACCAATGTCATACTTTATAGCAGCAGTGCCATCGTCTGGAGCCCCAGATAATTATCAAAGCCAGTTATCATCAAATTCAATTGGTTCATCTCATATGCAAGAAAACCTCTTGCAGAACAACCCTAAGTCATCGTCGGTTGAAGATTTAGTTATCAACAATAGAAGACAAATGTATCTCTCAGGGGAATCAAATGAAACTCAGGGTCGTCAACTTCACTCCTCTCAATCTACCTCACTTCCTTCACAATATTCACTATCAAATACGTCAGCAAACATTCATGCAGCAGCAGCAGCAGAAACTAATCCCTCGTCTGTAAAGGAGGAAAATATCCTTCCTACAGATTACACCTCAGATGACCATACCCAGGATGAACCTTTATCTCTGACCGTACGAAAACGCGGCGACAGTTTCTCAGGAAATGAAAGCTCTGTATCTTATTCCTCCCCCGATAGCCCTGTCTCACAAAGTCCACCAACGATGGCATTACCACATAAGCTGCGACATAAAGTACCAATGGACTTTGGTGCCGCATTCCAAAGTGCTGCATTTGGTCCAGTGGTGAATGGACTGACGCAATTATCTGAAATAGCTCTTGCACAGTCAGGTCCACTGCCCCTTGTAAAGAAATCCAAGCCCGACGATTCGGATTTGTCACCAAGAAGTGGTAGACTGAATCAGAGGTCGTTGATCGACCCGAAATATGCCGAAAGACGGCGCCGAAACAACGAAGCTGCACGAAGATGTCGAGAGAATAGAAAAAGCATAACAAGAATGAGGGAAGCCAAATCGGATTACTTGGAAACCGAGAACGGAAAACTCCGACATGAATTGGACACTTTACAGGACGAGATGAAGCAACTGAAAGACATGATAGACAGAAAAAAGACATTAAAATCAGAAACACAAGAGGAGGAAAATATGGGGAACAATAAGTAAAGCATATGTCGCAAGTTTTAAAAGAAATGGGTAAAATAAAATAGAAATTAAGATTTACGTCATCAATTTTTGTAATTTATGTATTTTTTTTCTTTATTGATATTGACCTACACTTTCAGTAGAGTGCATTGCAATTGGCTTTTGTTTTTGTTAAATTTCTTTTACCATAAATTTATATTTTTGGTGTTAACATTTCAGAACTTTGTAAAATTACACTGTTGCCGTGGTGTACTTTTCAAGCTACCCATAAGACAGTTATGTAAGCTTTGAATAAAGTATGTCACAATGCCCTGGATAAAGCGGCAGACCCTTGGAACGGATACGTGTTTTGCGGGTATAAATTTATGTAAATCAGCGTTCTTAACTCTTGTTTTCAGGACATAGCACATTAATTCTACAGACAAATACATTGTAGATACGTAAATCAATTGTTATTTATCAATCGGGTTAACACGAACCTAACCTACCTCTGATGTGTCGGGTCCAATTGTTTTTTTTCTGTGGAATTATGTTAGGTTGAAATCAGGTTGATGTATTACGGGTGTAGCGTTGTACATATATTTTTGACAGATACTAGTATGTTTTATTGTGTGTATGTGTGACTTTGTTTATATGGTTTTGGAGTATATACGATTGTGGGCGGCAAGGCTTTGGAAAATTACGCTAAAATGCACTTTTTTGGTACAGTGTATTTCAATATATATATATATATATATATATATATATATATATATATATATATATATATATATATATATATATATTAACCGGGTACTATACGATACTTAACCGGGTAATTCCGAATACTAAAATTGGTACTCGGTTACTCGGATGTATATTTTTTAAAATTTCGTAGCTTATTTATTAATGCAATAAACATATATATATATATATATATATATATATATATTTTCATATATATATATATATAAATATATATATATATATTACATACACGTGCGATTGTTGATATGGTTGTGTTTGATTACACGCCAATACAAATGGTTGAAGGCAAAGGCTTTTAAAAACTGATGTCCATCGTTGCACTAAACTACAAAATACCGTCCCGAAATACTATATAATATAGGAGTTAAAAAGTGTGCGTGAATTGTAAACCCGCTCTGTTATGAGAACTCAAGGTCAAGTTCAAGTTGATACTGTAAATAGCTCTGACGACTGATACCTGGACGTCAAACGCAACAAAGAGTTACAATTTACAGAACGAGTAATTTTTTTTAAACAAAAACAGTGTGAACCACTTATGATTTTATTTCTTGTGTTTATCTGATATTTAAAAAAATGTTATATTAAATTTCGTCGGACACGAAGTACTTATCACTGTTAAATCAGAAATACAATTACTGGTAAACCTCCTATCAAAGCATGTTGTTTTATTTCTACAAGAGTTTTTAATGTTTTACAGTCATCAATTTACTTGTTCATATTTATTTACATTTTTTACCGAGTATAATATATATATATACCGATCCCTAATATATATATATATATATATATATAGCCTTGATTCCCTTTGAATCTTCTGAATCAATGCTGAAGTAAACATAATACTTTTTTTTCATTTTGTTAAAATAATGAATTGGGGTGTCACTTATGAATGATTAAAATGAAGAGTTTAGTTTTAAAGGGAAAATTATTTACACTTTAATACTAAATTTTTCCATTAATTAGACATTTTTTTTATGTGTGTTTGCTGTGTATTTCTGTATTTAACGTACAGGCAGTTTTGTACAATCATTAAGAGACACCCACGATATAAAGATTGGTCCTTTTCGTAACAAGTGCTAACAATCATGTGCCATATAAAACTATCTGCCATATTTCAAAAAGGTTTAACTTTTCCCTATGGTTATAGGGTGTGTGTTACTATTTTTGTCTTTGTTTGTTATTACCTCAAGATAAAACTGGTACCATTGTAATTGATATTTATTGAATTTTTATGTTGGCAATTTTAAAAGGGGAATATTTTTACTGAGTCGTAAATAGGTGTGGATTATCATATACTTACTAACAGACCGAATATTGGCTTCTGATCATTCAATAATAACACATTTATATTTGACTAGATGCATTAATTTTACGAGCAGTGAGAATAAATTAATTTATGGTCGATTGAAAGTGATTTAGATTTAATTCCCTAAATTCAGTTCATACGTTTTATGTATTGTTTTTAGTAAATTAACATTGTTTTGAATGAACAAATTGCAAAGAACAAAAAGTGCTGAAATGAATGTCAAAGTACTTTGACAATTATTATGTTAAAACACGTATATGTATTTTTGCAAAAGTATATCTTTATTATGTTCTTCATAATGAAATAATCAAAGACCAAACTTTACAACACAGATGAAAAGTGCTTTTTTTAATTTTTATGTGTAGATTTATATATATTTTTCATTTTGATGTTTGGTTATTCAATTTTTATCTCAACTTATAATTGTGCCATGATTTTGTTGTACACTGTTTCCTCCCTTATACCACAGTAGATGTTAGTTAACTAGATTTTAGTCCATCTTTTGCTGTGTTAAATTTGTCAGAACACATACATGTAATAGAGTTTTTCAATATTTTTTTTTCAGTCTTTTAAGAAAGAGAAATTAAAAACAAGATCTTTTTTTTTTCAAATTATGTAACTTTGAGGTGTTCCTAGCTTACTAAGTAAAAGGTAACAGTCGGGGAAGTTATAGTTTTAACAATAAAATGAAATAATAGAACTAGGATTGCATGATCCGTCCTTTCTGGCCTTTGAACTTGTATCCTACCACGGCATCTGCATTTTCATAATATCTTTATGTTTTTAATGATTATTTTAACTGAAACAATGTTATTTTTAATATGTGTTTGCTGGTTCTATATGTTGAACTTTAAAAAAATAAATCAAACATTTTAAGGCATCATTCCTTGGGCTATAAAATGAATGCGTTTGATTTCGGATTAGTCATTTGTTATTGAGAACATTTCATTCCGTAATTTATTTCTTCATTGGATTCTAAAAATCTACCTCTAAAATTATCAAGTGTATATTTACAAGTGTACATGTAATAGATATTAGAAAATAGATTGTTACTAAAACAGAGAGAATTTACAAAATATATTTATGTCGTGTTTTCTTCAGAGTTATCTACCTCATTCTCTAGTTGAATGCTTTGTTCTGTATATCATTTCAAAAATAAATACATTTCATCTTTTGTCATATCTTGATTACAGTATTAACAGGTAAATACTTAGACATTGGGGAAAATATCTTAATTTTCAATATATTTATCTTACTTAAAAAAGATTTCCCATTAATGTATACAAAACATGAAATTCCAGAGGTCTAATCAGGTGTCAAGAAAGAGTTAGGCATCCCCTATCGACCGGTCACAACCGTTGTGAGCTAATTACCAAAATTCTGACGAAATCCATGTACTCTCAACTTATTTATCTGTGGCCTCGGTCTGAAATTGATCATACTCAGCTCATGCCCATGCATATTGAATGAGTTGGGAATGTCAACTCTATATACAAGTTATATCGGAATATTTCTATATAATTTTTAAAAATGGTAGTAATGGAAAAGCTCAAGTCACCTCGTTCGTTAGCTATTTGCTAGTTGACCCTTATCGTCTGCAGACAGTTATAACGACTTTTCGGAAGGTGGCAGACTATACGTGGTGTCTTATATTTAGAGTTCACTGGAATATATCGAGTCGACAAATTAAAAAAAGTACTCTTAATTGTTAAAACATCGTCAATATATCTAAATGTCGAGTGGAAGGTCACAGCAAGTGTTGCCTTCTTCTCGTGATTTATAGATTCTGATTTAAAAAAAAAACCTTAAACGCCTGGGCTATGATCTGATAATTTCCTGATTATATTTTTATGTTTATATATAGATTTCTTTCACAGAAAATTTGAACAAAACATTTCCAATGAAAGAAGTAGTACAAAGTATTACCAGGTAATTGTAACCAATTAATTCATAAACGTGTTTCATATTAGATATATCCGACAGGCGTGTTTTGTATACTAGTAACTCAAAACCAGGCATGAATATTCTTCAGAATTCACAAAAGTTTACTTTCCTTTTAATCTCAAAAGTTCGAGCACACATTTCGTCTGGCTTAATTATCAATAACTAAACCCCTTCGGGAACTCAAAAAATTGAATTTAAAAAACTAAGAATAAAACAATAAACAATAAAAGAGAAAGCTTCTTTATCGTTTATTGTTGACCAAAGTAGCCTTGGTTCATAGGTACACAAAATATATACTGTACAATACAGGGAAAGGGCAGAGGATTAACAAAAATACAATATAAAATAAATACTAATATATGCATGGATATAAATAGTCTGTGACAAAGATAGAATTTAACTATCGAAAATTTGAAAAACATCATTAATGATATTTTAAAAAAAAATCAATTTCCCGTTGTTTTGTATCTTTCAATAGATATTGACGTTTCTGAATAATTTTAGAAAAATTATATGCAGCTTAATCAAAACAGTCGCATTTATAAAACGAGGTGAACTAAACTGACAAAAAATGTTGGAGTATTATCGATGATTATTCTACAGTTGATTGATTTTATTTCCTCCATAGTTTGGAAAAAATCATCTTTTAATATCATGATGTTTTCTCGAAAAAAAAAATAGAGATAGGGATCCAGCATATTATGGATTAACGAATTCATGAACGTTTTAATCATATACATGTACTTTAAATTATTTTGATTGCACGTGGGTAAAAACAAATACTGTGTAAAATAATGTGTAAAATTTGAAGTAAATTTCTCTCTACTTAGTTTAACCCCAATCTCTCTATTTCCTCTTACAATTATTCCGCGCTTACGAAACATCTACTCTAGATGTATGTTGCTCAACTTTTTTGTTTAAATTCCAGTTATATGAAATTGGCTTTTGTAAATTTGTACTTTAAATTTTTTTTAATAAAATTCTTGCAAACATTAAATCGATATATAAAACAACTTACATGATTATCAAAAATTTGAAAACATAAATCCAAGAATGACAATTGTGATGTGTAATTTAACAGTTTGATGCATCTGCGTTAGGATCTTTTATGTTTCACGTGTTGCAGTAAGTGGTATTATATAAGGCTACTCTTAAATTGCCACGCAGTTTCTGTCACCATGAGATGTCATTACCTGACATTATATATCGGGCACACTTGTTTAGAAATGATGAACTGACAATAAAATTACTTTTACTTCGAAAGCACAAATATGACTTGTTTGGGTTTTAATAACAAGTACAGTTATGTAAGGTCAGGAACAAAACAAAACAATATTTCAATTCCATATACACTGTAATCAAGGCAAATTATGATGTCTCAACTTAAAAATCAAATTTATTATCCTGATTCAATAGACCTTTTGAAAATCAAATCAAATAAACCAAAATCAGGAAACGTTTAAAGATCAGTTAAAGGATGACTGCACTTAATGCTGCGTTTTGGGTCTTATTTGGTCACTTTTGTTGCTTTTAAATCTTAACCTAATTTCACTTTTTTATATTTACTACGGAGGCCTGTCAGACACCCTATTTTTAAAATGTTGAAAATAATTTTAGATTATAATAGAATAACTCTAATGCCTTTTGTCCTTAAAGTTTTCCAAATTCAGAGAATTTACAAACACCTGCCCTTGATTGAAAATGTTTTATTGAGAGGTGGAGCTAAC